CGAAAAAATAAGCTCATATTTGTTCGGAAATTTTTCCATATAAAATTTAGAGGAGCAGCGAAAAAGTTAATTACGTGACCTAAAAATCACATACGTTATAAAATTTAAATTTTTTTACTTTTTATTTATTTTTTAAAATTAAAAAAATTTTCTCATACATATCCTTCAGCAGATCCCGGATCCTTTAATTTTGGAAAGCACTTGACAATTTCCTTGGCGCAAATAACTTTTTGTTCGGACGTGGGAAAATATCCATATCTTGCCACCATTGAGTCAACAGCAATATTTACTAATTTCCTACGATTCGTTGCTGACAGACCATTTGTTTCGTTATATTCCTGTATAAGTTCAATGCCACCTGGTGTACTTTTTATCTGCAAGTCCATTTTTTATTCATTTTCTTTAGAAAAAAAAATCATTTTTTTCTCTCTCTCTCTATCTCTCTCACTCCAAAAACGTTATTTTACATAATTTCACTGGCGATCAATGTGATGAATTAATTGTTAAATAATTTTTCTTACCAATTCACTCAACGAGTCAAGAGGATCAATCTCGACCCAGGCGAACTGCGATATATCTGAAACAAGAAAAATGAAAAAAGTCAGTTGAAATGGTAAATTTTTTTTTTATTTCTTACAAAAACTAACAAAGACTAATATTGTGAAAAAATTTATTGCAATTGAAAAAAAACATTTCAAGAATGTGTAATTAAGTGTCTAAAATAAAAGCTGATTTTGTTGAGGTGAATTATAGAGAAAAAAAATATGTGGAAATAGTTTTTATAATACAGTTTTAATAACAATTTTCGTATATTTACAAATAGGTTTTCTTATTCTATTTATATTTATTATAATTTCTATAAATGTAAAATTAAGAACTATAAAGTTATTTAATACTGAAAAATATTTCGACGCTCAAGAAAATAAATTCAGTAGATACATTTAAAATTTTAAATAAAAATTTTACAATTCGAATATTATAAATATATTTCTTATAAAAAAACTTTTTTTTCTTAAATTAAATTCTGGAAGTAAGTAAAATGTAATTTTGCATATAACTCGAAAATTTCAAGCATCCAGGGAAAAGATAGATATATTTGACTCAGAGCCAACTGGACTTTTTATTTGTATCAAAAAAAAGTTATTTGGTTCAAAAAATGTTTGATTTGGGTCAGAAAAAATTTATTTAGTTCAAAAAAAATTTGATTTGGTTCAAAAAAAATTTGATTTGGTACAGAAAAATTTTATTTGGTTCGAAAAAATTTTATTTGTTTCAAAAAAATTAATTTTCTTTTAAATAAATGTTATTTCATAGAAAATAACTTTGATTTGGTTCAAATAAATTTAATTGCTTTTAAATAAATTTTATTTGGTTCAAAAAAACTTAATTTCTTTCAAATAAATGTTATTTGGTTGAAAATAACTTTGATTTGGTTCAAATGAATTTTATTAGGGTCAAAAAAATTTTATTTGGTTTAAAATAAATTTTGTTTGGTTCAGAAAAAAAGTTATTTTTTCAATAAAATTTTATTTGGTTCAAATAAATTTAATTTCTTTCAAATAAAGGTTATTGGGTTGAAAATAATTTTGATTTTCTTCAAATAAATTATATTTGGTTCAAAAAAATGTATTTGGTACAAATAAATATAATTTCTTTTAAATAAATGTTATTTGCTTTGAAAAAAATATTTGGTTCAAGTAAATTTAATTAATTTTTTTCAAATAAATTTAATTTCTTTCAAACAGAGGTTATTCAGTTGAAAATAACTTTGATTTGGTTCAGAAAAAATTTATTTGGTTCAAAAAAATTTTATTTGGTTCAAATACATTTAACTTCTTTCAAATAAAGGTTATTTGGTTGAAAATAACTTTGATTTGAAACAAATAAATTTTATTTGGTTCAAAAAAATTTTTATTTGGTTTAAAATAAATTTGATTTGATTCAAAAAAAATTTGGTTTGGTTCAGAAAAAATGTATTTGGTACAAATAAATTTAATTTCTTTAAAATAAATTTTATTTGATTCCAAAAAAATGTATTTTGTTCAAATTTTAATTAATTTCTCTTAAATTAATTTTTTTGTATAAAAAAAAGTTATTTGGTTAAAAAAAATTTGATTCGGTTCAGAAAAAATTTATTTAGTTTAAAAAATTTTTATTTGGTCCAAATAAATTTAATTTCTTTCAAATAAAAGTTATTTAGTTGAAAATAACTTTGATTTGGTTCAATTAAACTTAATTTCTTTCAAATAAATTGGATTTGGTTCAAAAAAAAATTTATTTGATTCAAAGAAATTTAATTTCTTTAAAGTAAATTTTATTTGATTCCAAAAAAATTTATTTGATTCAAATTTTAATTAATTTCTTTAAAATTAATTTTTTTGATTAAATTAAAACATTTTATTTGGTTTGAAAAAGTTTTATTTAATTAAAAAAAAATTGTATTTGGTACAAATAAATTTGATTTGGTTCAGAAAAATTTTATTTTATTGAAAAAAAATTTGATTTGGTTAAAAAAATTTGATTTGTTTCAAATAAATTTAATTCCTTTCAAATAAATGTTATTTGATTCAACAAAATTTTATTTGTTTAAAAAGAATTTTACTTGGTTCAAATAAGGTTTTATTTACTTCGAATAAAATTTGTATTTTAGACAAATAAATAACCTAGTTGGCTATGAGGCAAATATACTTTTATTTATCTCAAATAAATAATATTTGCTTTAAATAAAATTTTCTCTGTGTTATAACTTATAAATATATATTTCTTATACAAAAAAATTTTTTCAAAAAATTCTGAAATTATTTTTTTTTTTAACTCTCAAATTTCAAATTTGACAGTGAAAAAAAAGACAGACAATCAATGCAGTCGTTTTCGTTCTCTTTCGTAAAAATTGTGAATCGTTCTTTGATGAATCCTGAGGCAGTCGGATCGAAAGAATTTTTTTTGACAAATTTGACAATTGAAATTCGGTTCTTTATTGCCGCATTTTAATTGATGTCGCCGTAAGTTATGCAACAGTGTGTAAGAATGGCCACAATTGAAGCATTTAAATGAATTCTGCTCATAATTCGTCTCAAATGTTTGTTGTTCCTCATAGTTTAATGTTGATACTGGGAAGTATTTATTCCTCTGGTATTCGTTTCCCTTGAACCATTCTGAAGAGGAAAAAATTTATTTTATCAGTATCAATACATACATTTTTATATTTAATAGTAATTTGAAGGAAAAATTAAATTAAATTATTATTAATATTATTATTATTATGTATTACTCGTGCAAGTTTCACATGCAATTTTTTATTAAATTCGATCGCTTTTCAAAATTTTTCTTGTTATTATTTATTACAGAAATAAAAAAGAGAGCCAGAAAAGTGCTTTCAAATTTATTAAATTATGTAAATTTATTTGAAACATTTAAATTTTCTAAAATTTTCCAAATGTGTACCAATTTTAAAAATAGGAGTTGTAAAATAGTTTTTTGACAGATTTTTTTGCTCTTTCAGCAGAAAATTTTTTTTTTTGAAGAAATTTAAAATTTGAGACTTTTTTCGAAAATTGACTTTTTTTAAAAAAAGACGACTTTTTCTTTTTTTTTGTTTATTTTATTTATTCATTTCAATTCAAATTATTTATTAAATTAAGCATTACTTGATTAGATTGACAATATTGATTATTAAAGAGCTAATATTTATGTTCGCAAATAATTGTGAATCGTTAGTTTGTAAACGAAAATACACCGCGTCAATTGCTTAAAAACTTAAATTAATTTAAATAATGTAGGCTAAGTTTACATTGTTTTAAATAAGGTCACGTGATAAATATCAAATTTTATATTAATCTTAATTTTAATATTCACATATTTCAATCATATCCCAGAATTATAATTTCAAATTTCGCGCCAATTAGGTTGACAAAACTGCCGCCTAGACGGCGTGAAAATTCTCTCACAAGTGCGAAATAAAGCACAGAGAAAAATTGATTAAAAAGAAGAAGAAGAAGAAGAAACAGTTTCAGTTACGAAAATGAATAATATTAGAAATGATAATAAATAAATTGTAAATAAATTACAAATAATTTTTTAGAGGAGAAAATTAGAGAGGCAAAAGTCGGGAAAAATGTTTGTAAATAAATAAAAGTAAAAAAATAGTTGAATATAAATATAATCTATTATTTCCTACGCTTTCTTCTCTCTAATTTTATCCTCTATTTTATCTCTATTTTTTATAAAATTGTTTACAATTTATTTATTATTTTATTTTTATAAAATATTTATTTATTTTTATAGTTTTTTTTATAGTTTGAAATTTCGCGCCAATTTAGTTGACAAAACTGCCGCCTAGACGGCGTAAAAATTCTCTCACAAGTAAAATAAAGCATAGCGTAAATTTTTTTTTTTTTTTTTTTTGTATTGTATTATTCATTTTGTAACTATGAAACAATTTTACATCGCATTAAAAAATAATTTATGAATGAATTTATACAATTGTAAAAATTTCTATCTAATATTTATTATTTATTAGAATTCATGTAGAAATTCTCTTGAACCGTTCTAGTAAAATTTTTTTAACTTGGATTTCAACCCTGAAATTAGTGTCGAAAATTATTATTTAGTTTTTAAAGAAAACTTTTTTAGCTCCCTAGGGAAATAAAGAGGTGACAACCTCTTTATTAGGGAGCTGAAAATTTTTCCATAGTACATTTCTAAGTTGAGAACTTCCAAAATGTTTATATTCTTTTTGGTTTTGAAAAAACAATATTTTCCGACGCCGACGAATGGAATGTTTGTATATTAATTGTATAGTAATTATTTTCTAATTTCTACAAATACATTTATAACTTTTTCATTTCATTATAAAGAATATTGTTAAAAAAAACAATAGATTAATAAAGACGATAAAATTTTTAATTTACATCAGTAAAATACGTGACTAATAATATAAAGTAACTTTTTAACTCGATGATTTACATATTTAGTTACTTTTTTACTTTTTTATTCAAAATTTACATAATGTCGATAATTTCTTCTTCGATTTCCAACTTCGTCTCTTGATTTTCATCATTTTCATCATTTTCAACATTTTCAGCATTTTCAGCAGCAATCCATTGATTTTGTTCGGCTTCACTCGGTTTGCAATTTTTCTTGTGCTCCTTCAAATTATTCAACCATTTAAATTCCTTTAAACAAACATCACATTTAAAGGAGCATTTAAACTTTTGCCCTCGTCCACCTCCGACATTATCTCCTGGCAGTGGCTCCAGCATCACTTTACACTCCTTCCAACGTTTACTCATCACTTTCTTCCGACACATTTTATGATGACGTCTCAAATTTTTCAGCCAATTATAACTTTTTCCACACAATATACATTGATAGCGATCGAGGCATTTTTCTTTGACAACAATTGCTGGAATTGGTACATCGGACGTTGATGGACGTTCTTCTTCTTTCTTCTTTGCTGCTTGTGCCTTGGAATTTTCTCCTTGGGGATTTTCAAGAGCCAATTTTATCGGACAACGCTCCTGATGAACTTTTAATCCTTTCTTCCAACGATAGGCTTTACTGCAATAGGGACAGAGAAATTGTCGTTCGTCGCCATTTTCGTCGACGTAATGCACATCACCATCGCTTAAAATTGCTTGACTTAAAATTCGTCCACAATGAAAGACGTGACGTCGCAGACTTTTTAATTGTGGATACATTCGACCGCAACGATTACATGTGAAAGTTTGATTTTGATTTTTTTCCGCCGGGGTTATTTGTAGAGGATCTGCAACGGGATGTTCCCAAATATCTACAACATAAATTCAATTGTATTAGTTTTTTTTTATTTGGAATTTTTTTTTTTGCGAAACAATTTTTATTAAATATGGAACTATTTTTATTTTTCTGTAAAAATAGATGATATTTTTTATATTTTTTAGTATGTAATAATTTTGCAGAGAAATTATTTGAAACACAACTAAATTGTGAATGTACATTACGCAGAAGATTTACTTTTTACAAGAAATTATATTTTTATAATATTAATAGGCCTGCACTGGAAAAATAGAGGTGTTCTTTAATGTTTCATAAACTTTTGTCATTTCAGCAAATTTTCTTGAAAGTGTATTTATTTATTTATTATTACAAAGTAGAAAATAGTAAAAGAGGGCAAAAAAGTAGTGACGCCGGGAAAAAAAGACTCGCGCAGGCGCGTCAGCGGCTGCGCGCGTCTTTTTTCCCCGGCGTCTTACTCGCTTTCCTATTGGTAGAAATTGGCGCGCGAATTTAAAATACTTTAATATTAAAATTAAAATTAAATTAAAATTAAAATTTAAAATACTTTAATATTAAAATTAAAATTTAATTAAAATTTAAATTTAAAATACTTTAATAATAAAATTAAAATTAAATTAAAATTAAAATTTAAAATACTTTAATATTAAAAAATTTATTTAAGGTAAATATTTAGAATACTTTTCAAAGACCTTAGAAAGTCGTAGACTATTATTAATTATTAATTAAAGAATTCCAATATTATTCCAACTGAATATTAGGCGTAAAATAATTTAATAAAATTAATCCTGCAAAAATTGTGGAAATCCTGTAATTTCATATTTACGTCTATAAGATAAAATACATTTCTTTTTTTTTATTAGAAAATACGTTTTTAAGTAACAAAACACTTGTTTTTGCAGTGCAGTGAATTTCATATTCGAAAAATTCTTAACGTTCAAATGAACGAGTTAATAGGTATTATTAATAAAATTAATAAATTAACAATTAATAATATTAAAAAAGTTAATAAATTAACAAATTAATAATGTTAAGAAAATCAATAAATTATCAATTTTTAGTAATATTAAGAAAATTAACAAATTAATAATACACAGAATATTAAATTTTGTAAAAGTATTTTACAAATTAGGGAAAAAGTGCGACAAAGCGAAATTTTCATATAAAAAATACTAAACTTTAAAAAAAGTCATGTGAAATTCAGTATAATTATATCAAATATCAAGAATATTAATTAAATTCTAATATTATAATTTTACTAAACACAAAAGTTTTTCTAAAGTTTAGTATTATTTATATAAAAATTTCAAATAAATTTTATTTGGTTCAAAAATATGTATTTGGTACAAATAGATTTAATTTCTTTCAAATAAATGTTATTTGGTTCAAAAAAAATATTTGGTTCAAATAAATTTAATTAATTTCTTTCAAATTATTTTTTTTTTATTCAGAAAAATCTGATTTGGTTTGAAAAAGTTTTATTTGATTTAAAAAAAATTATGTTTGGTACAAATAAATTTGATTTCGTTCAAAGTTCAAACAAATTTGATTTGGTTCAGAAAAAATTTATTTGAATCAAAAAAATTTGATTTGGTTCAGAAAAAATATATTTGGTTAAAAAAAATTTTATTTGGTTCAAATACATTTAATTTCTTTCAAATAAAGGTTATTTGGTTAAAAATAACTTTGATTTGGTTCAAATAAATTTGATTTGATTCAGAAAAAATTTATGTGGTTCAATAAAATTTTATTTGGTTTAAAATAAATTTGATTTGACTCAAAAAAATTTGGTTTGGTTCAAAAAAAATTTATTTAGTACAAATAAAATTAATTTCTTTAAAATAAATTTTATTTGATTACAAAAAAAATCTATTTGGTTCAAATTTTAATTAACTTCATTCAAATTAATTTTTTTGATTAAAAAAAATTTGATTTGTTTAAAAAAAAATTTGATTTGGTTTAAAAAAATTTTATTTGGTTCAAATAAATTTAATTTCTTGCAAATAAAAGTTATTTGGTTGAAAATAACTTTGATTTGGTTCAAATAAATTTGATTTCTTTCAAATAAATTTTATTTGGTTTAAAATAAATTTGATTTGATTAAAAAAAAATTTTGATATAAAAAATACTAAACTTTGAAAAAACTTATGTGAAATTTAGTATAATTATATCAAATATGAAGAATATTAATTAAATTTTAATATTATAACTTTACTAAATTTCACAAAAGTTTTTTTAAAGTTTAGTATTTTTTATATCAAAATTTCTCTTCGTCGCCCTTTTTCCCCAATTTGTAAAATACTTTTAAAAAAATTTAATATAAATTCTCTCTTCGTGTATTAATAAATTTATGAATTAACAAATTAATCTTATTAATGAATTAATAATTAAAAAAAAAAAAAAAAAAAAAAAAAAAAAAAAAAAAAAATTGGCACCATATTAAAATAGAAAAAAAACATGATATTGTTTTTAATACGTGACCGAATATATTCTTATCGTAAAATTTGAAAGAGAAACAAATAAATTTCGGTCATTCGAACGTTGAGAAGGGACTAAAAGTATCTTACTTAAGCATAACAAAAAATTTGCACTACCAAATAATTAAATAAATCAATGTCTTATTCTAAAATGTATATTTCATTAAAAAAAATTAACATTAGTTACAAATTAAATTCTTAATAGTTATTATGTAAAATATATAATACTGTTTTAAATACATACACAGAAATTGAATTCGACGCGCGGTGAAGAAAGGGACACAAAAGAAGCGAAAAGTTTTAGGTTATGTTTGTCATCTCTTTCCTTGGAATATTATTTTTGTAAAAGGAAAAATAATTTTCATTGGAATATTAATTGTGCAAAAGAAAAAATAATTTTCATTGGACAATTTCGTACTTTTTTATTTCATTTAAATAATAATTTAATGAATAAAAAATGTAATTGTAAATTAAATATATTTAATTCACAATTCTTCTACTTTTTCAATTCTTTTTTTTTCTTTTCGAAAATATAATTGTAAATTAAATATATTTAATACAAGAAATATACTTGATTTACAATTAAATTGAAAAATTAATTTGTTAAATAAATTAAATTGTATTTAATTTATAATATATTAATTATAATTAGTTTACAATTATATTTTCGAAAATAAAGAAAAGAATTGAAAAAAAAGAAGAATAAAGATTTAAAAGGTACTTTGAATCGACAGTTAATAAAACACAACAAACATAACCTATAAAATTTTCCTCCCCGCGTACCTTTCTTCACCACTTGCCTAAAGTTTACAACTTTCCTTCTTTATAATCTTCAATATTTTTACTTTTTAAAAAAAATTTTTTTTTTAATTTGTAAACTATAAAATAATTTAAATTAAGTATTTTTTGTAAAATCTGTTCGATATTTTTTTTTGTTTAACTATTGTCATTTCTAACAGTGTTATGAAGTCTTCGCTGACAAGCCAAAATATGTGAATTTAGAACAAATTTATGTTTGAAACGTCTATTGCACAGGGGACAGACTTCACTGCCCAAAACACCACATTCTAAGCGTATATGACGACTGAGCGATGTGGTGGCTTTATAAATTTTTCCACATCGTGAACAAGAGAATTTTTTTTCTGAATTCCCGCTATTCATTTGTATCCAATTTTGCGATGAATGCTGCTTGTATGGTGATCTTTCCTGTGAAATATCTGAGAAATTCCACGATGCATCCTTCGACGATGAATCATTTATATCTTGCGGTGGGAATAAATTTGCCATTGGAAATTCTGAAATGGAAAATTATTTTCGAATCAGTACGGAAGGGAAAATGGGGAGAAAATAAAGAAACAAACAGAAACTTGCAGTTTTTAGAAGAGAAAATGAAATATTGCAATTATTCTTTTTTTTAGATAGAGATCTTTTATTATACAGATAGAGATCTTTTTAGAAATAGATTTTTATGTCTTAAAAATAAGGAGAAAATTAAAAAATTTATTGATAGCAATCTATTTGGGGATGGCATTAATAGGCAGCATTTATGTATATAAAAATGTTTGTAAATACATTTTTGCTGATAAATAAGAATACTTTATTCGTACGTCATACATACACTTTTTTTTGATTTTCTATTTTCTGCCTGTAAATTCTATACAGAAAAATTTGTCAAACTAGAATTGTAAATTATAATGGAATGTCGACGTTTAGCGTGAGATTGCAAATGATGTTTTCGTAGAAACTTCCTTCCACATAAGGTACAAATGTATGAGGGCATTTTCCCACAATCCAAACGAAGATGTTGATTCAGTGATGTTCGTAGTTTATAGGATTTACCACATCGGAAGCATATCCACAGTTTTTCTAAAAAAAATGATCGAAACATTTAGAAAATTCCATTTATTCCTAAAATCGTCTTTTTATTTTAGGATTTTAACAAAAATTTCTAAATTTTATTTTAATGATAAATATTTACTTACGGATTTGTTTTTTATTGTCATGTCCTTTAGGTACAAAAAGATATTAATCGCATTTCTGTTCGTAAAAGGAAAAAGAAATAATTTTACAAAAATTAAAGTTGATTGTATAAGTTTTATATAATTACAGGGCTCGAAGCAGTGAAAGTATTTAAAAATACGGACTTTACGGACCAAAAATTAAAAATTACGGACCATTTACGGACCAACTGACAAAAATAGAATCAGTCCGAATCAAATAAGAGAACATTTTACTTAAAACTAGAAATTCAATTTTTCATAATTATAAAACATGAAGAAATCGATAACTCCGAGTCTTCGACTCGGAGTCATCTATTTCTTCATGTTTTATAATAATTATAATAATTAAAATCAATTCAATTATTATTTTTAAGAATTTTTATCTAAAATTCTTCTTTACATCGATAATTTTTAATAATTTTCGAAAAAGTACTTTGACAATTTCCAAATAATTCATTTCTTTACAATATTCAATTTTAAAATTGAAAAATTGAAATTTCAATTATTCGTAAATTCTTTAATTAAATAAATATTAGAAAATAGAAACTAAAAATAATATTAAAAAAACTCAATATTAAACTTTTTCAAAAAAATTACTTACAAAATTCAATTATTTTTTTAAAATTCACGCTCCATTGCATCTAATATTCAATTATTATCTAAAATTTTAACTGAAATTCATTTTTATAAAATGAAAATCAATTTAGAAAAATTAAGTTAGAAAATTCTACTAGAATTCAATTATTTAAATACAAATTTAAATGCAAAAATGCAAATAAATAATTTATTGAATAATTGAATGTTTCTTCAAATTCAATTCTGGTAAAGAATTGTATCAACAAATTTTCAAATAATTGAATTCTATCAATGAATTTTAATAAAATTTTTAAGAATAATTACATTTTTCGAGAAATTCCATTAAAATTGTATTAAAAATAAATAAAATAAATAAAATAATTGAAATTCTGCATTGAATTTAATTCTTTATGAAAATATTTGAATTCTTGCAAAGAATTTTATTAAAATTTTCAAAAATAATTAAATTCTTGTAAAAAATTAATAATAGGAATTCAATTATTTTTAAAAGGTTTTAATAAAACTTTTTTTGATAGAAATTTAATTATTTTAAGGCAATTTTAAAAAAATGTTTCGATAGAATTCAATTATTTTAAAAATTTTAATGAAATTATTTGAAATAATTCAATTTATTATAATCTAAGATTTTAACTGAAATCTATTTTTAAATCAAATGTTTATGAGAAAATTCCACCAGAATTCAATTATTTAAATACAAATGAAATGCAAATAAATAATTTATTGAATAATTGAATGTTTCTTGGAATTGAATTCCTATTAAAAATTTTATCAACAAATTTTTAAATAATTAAATTCTTTGGACGAATTTTAATAAAATTTTTAAGAATTTTTTCGAGAAATTCGATTAAAATTCTATTGAAAATAATTGAATTCTCCTAAAAAGAATTTTATTACTTTTGAAAATAATTGAAATTTTGCAATGGATTTTATTAAAATTTTTGAAAATAATTGAAATTTTGCAATGGATTTTAGTAAAATTTTTGAAAATAATTGAATATTATTACTTTAGAAAATAATTGAATTCGTGTGATAAATATTGTTAATCATGAAAATAATTGAAATTTTTTTAATGAATTTTATTAAAATTTTTGAAAATAATTGAATTTTGTCGAAGAATTTTGCTAAATTTATTTATAAAGATAATTGAAATGTTGACAATGCTTTTTAGATTTTTTGAAAATAATTGAATTTCGAAGAAGAATTTTAATATTTCTAAAGATAATTGAAATTTTGACGAAAAGTTAAATAAAACTTTTGAACATATTATGTAATTGAATTTTTGCGAATTTTCGACATTTTAAATGGAATATAATTTTTTAACCGTAATTAGATTTGAAACAATTAATGTATTTTTTTACAAATCTAAGGCAGGTCAGTTGAACTAGAACTAATAATAGAATAGAAAATAAATTTACTGTACATAAGTAGTTTTATTTATTGTCAATAAAAATTTGGCATTATAAAAAGAAATCAAACACAGTCTCAATATGAGAAGAATGTAAAAATTTAACTTCAGATTTTTAACAAACCAGAAACAAAAAACGAGAAAGTAACAAAATAAACTTCAAACAGTTTTAAAGCATTTATGATAAACGTGATTTTTTGGCATAAAAGCAATTTTTTTTTTATTTAAAAACAAGTTTTTGTTTTAAATGAATAGTTTCTTTTAAATGAAAAGTTTTTTTAAATAAACAGTATTTTTAAATGAAAAAAATTTTTTTTCTTTAAACAGTTTGTTTTAAATGAAAAGCTTTTTTTTTAAATAAACAGTTTCTTTTAAATAAAAGAATTTTTCTAAAGAAACAGTTTCTTTTGAATGAAAATTTTTTTTTTAATAAACAGTTTGTTTTAAATGAAAACTTTTTTTTTGGGAGTAAAAAAAAAATTTAGAAGTTATTTAGCATATCGACTTAATAAACTATTTATTTCGTGTGAATTGCATCGATGCTTGTTTCTCAAGTGTTCCTTCAAATGATGCTTGTGACGAAATTTTCTTTGACAAATAGCGCAATTAAATTGTGGTTCAACGCCGCATTCAAATTTTAAATGAACATGGTATGTGCCTTTCCACTTGTAAGATTTACCACACGCATCACACACGTAGCGATCTGAAAATAAGAAAAAAAAATTTAATTAGTAAAATTTCTAATTAGTCTCCTCTTCTTATTGACATTTAAATTTAATAAATTTTGCATTTCAATAAATTTCACAGTATTTAATAACCAAATATACTGTTCTCGATTTATCGCAACATTTATCAAACACGCAAAAAAAAAAATTTTTTCATTTTTTTTTTATTCGTAGTTTCTTATCAGAAAAAAACATGCAATATTTTTTACAACACGAAAAAAAAATATTCACCTGGAACAGGTACAAATTTCACTAAATTAGTCAAATTTTTAGTTGATTTTTTTTATACTTTCGCTATTTTAGAGAAACTTATCACTGTTCCAGGTAGAACTTTTTTTCTCTAAAAAACATCGGTTTTTGTTTTTCTAAGTTTCTTTTAAGTAAAATTGATTTTCTCTAAATTGAAATTATAGTGAAAAATATTTGAAAACCGAACGTTTTGATTTTTTTGATGAATAAGCCAATGATATAATGAAAAGATATTATGAATATTTAAAAAAAAAAATTATTAACTATTTTTAGTTGATTTTTAGTAAAAATTTTGTTTTTTAAATTATATTTTATCTTCTGATGATGTCTTCAATCTTCAAATGATGATGTTGCCAAGCCCAGTTAAAGAAAGCATTGTAAAGTTATTTATAAATTAAAATATATTTATTCAAATAAAAATATACAATTAGCAAAAAGAAATTTATTTTTAAAAATTTAAGTAGTAATACAATGTGCGTGTAACTAGTAAAAATTAACAATTTTAAGGAATTTTGTATTTAACTAATTAATAAATTAAGTTTTTTTTTTTTTATTCTACAAGGTACATTTTCAAGGCACATGGAAAACTCATAGAGATATTAAAATAGGGGGCGTGACTTTGTATTAAAATGGTAGAAGAACGTTAGAACAATAAAAAGAGACAAATAGTGTTTTTAACGTCCCTTTTTCTGTTTTTGTTTCTTGGCGCATGCGCGATAGAAAAAGCAACTGCGCTTGCGCCACTCTTATTGGTGGAAAATAGTGGCGCAAGCGCAGTTGCGTCTAGTCATGCGCATGCGTCACTAGAGAGAGACAAAAGAGGGGACGTTACGTTCACTTTGTCTCTTTTTATCTGCTTGACGCTTTCACCTTTTCGTATAATCTCACGTCCTTTATTATTGTATTTCTATGGGAAAACTTTAACAATGACAAATATATCAAACGAAATCAAAAAAATATAAGCTTTTTAACTAAATTACTAAGAAAAGTCTTCTTCAATCTTCAGAGTTGAGCAACGTCGATATTATTAAAAGAACTCATTAAAGTGTTATTGTTAATTTTTTCTGACTTTCATTATCTATTTTTATTTTTTAACAATTTTTTAAAACAATTTTTGAACTCGTCAATTTTCTAAACTGAGGAAGTATTTCGAAAATAATTATTTCCTTTACTTGTAGATTTGCTAAAAAATATTTAGATAATAAATTTTTTCACTTGTAAATTTTCTAAATAAAAAATAAAAAAAAATAATTATTTCTTTTACTCTTAAATTATTTAAATTAGAAATATTTAGAAAATAATTTTTTTACTCTTACTAAATTACAAATATTTAGAAGATAATTTTTTTACTTGTGAATTTACTAAATAAAAAATATTTAGAAAATAATTATTTCGTTTACTCGTAAAATGTTATATACAAGAAATATTCCGAAAATAATTTTTTTTTTACTCCTAATTTTACTAAATAAAAAATATTTAGAAAATAATTATTATTGCGTTTACTCGTGAATTTTCTAAACAAGAAATATTTCGAAAATAATTATCTCTTTCACTCGTAAATTTTTTCAAACAAAAAATATTTCGCAAATAATTATTTCTTTTAGTCGTAAATTTTTTTTAAACAAGAAATATTTATGGAAAACAATTATTTCTTTTACTTGTAAATTCTCTAAAAAATAAATATTTCAAAAACAATTATTTCTTTTACTCGTAAATTTTCCAAATTAAAAATACATATTTCCAAAATAATTATTTCTTTCACTCGTAAATTCTTTAAAAAAGAAATATTTCAAAAACAATTATTTCTTTTACTCATAAATTTTCCAAATAAAAAAAATTCGAAAATAATTATTTTTCTAACTCAAAAAATATTTTAATAAAATAAAAATATTTTTAAAAAAAGTCTGAATGTAATTTAATCTCAAGACTTGGAATCACGTTTTCCTACTATAATACTAAAACGAAAAACACAACCAAAAAATAATGCTATCGAAATAAATTGCAAATAATAAAAGTCAGAAAAACAAATTCAAAACCAAAAAAAATAATATTATTCGAGAAATGTTAAACTTTATAATTATTTTGATCGGGATGAATTGTACTTAAGTGACGCTTGAAGCTTGATTTTTGTTTGAATTTTCTTCCACATATTTCACAAGTGTGTTGTGGTTCTTTATGACATTCTTCACGAATATGTCGGCTTAAAGAAACTTTCCATGAGTAGCCCTTCCCACAAAGTGGGCAGATGAAAGGATATTTTTGCTGACTGAGTGGATACAAAAATGGTAGTAGTTGAACTGAAAGCAAATTTTATTTTCTTTTGAAATCTTCATATTTTTCAAATTTTTAGCAAAAATATATTCAAAATTTTAATGCAACTCAAGTTTTCAATGTAATAAAATCAACTTAAACTCTAAACTAAAAAAATCAACTTAATAATAAAACTTATTCAATAAAATAAAAATATATTTAAACAATAAAAGTATTTTTTTTAATTAAAAATGAATAAAGAATTAATTAAAAGTCAATTAAAAATTAATTAAAATTCAATTAAAAATTAATTAAAAGTCAATTAAAAATTAATTAAAAGTCAATTGAAAATTAATTAAAAGTCAATTAAAAATTAATTAAAAGTCAACTAAAAGTTAATTAAAATCAATTAAAAGTTTTAATTAATTAAAAATTAATTTTAGAAGAAATTCAATACCAAAAGAAATTTTATGTGGGAGAAAAATCCACTCTCTGGAAAAAGAATAAAAAAGATAATTTATTGAGAATCTTCAGTTGAAGAGAAGGTGAAATCTGAAACAGACTAAATATTTTTAACACAAAGAGGAAAATTGTAATAATAAATCTTATGAATGGATTTAGTATTCAATTTTTATTTTACAATCCGATTATAAATCTAGTTTCGTACATTTCATAAACTAAATTCAACAATTTAATTTATTGCTCTAGAAACATTTGGCAGTTTTTTTTTTTAAATTTCTTCCTATAAATATGAACCAAAGTTTGTAAATTAAAGTCATGGAGAAGTTTTTAATTAAAAAAAAAAAATTATAAATTAAATTCACTAATTCAATTTAATAATTAAGAGGAAACAATTATTAATTTATTATTTTAGAAACAATTGAAATTTTTATAAAGTTTTCCCTATTGCTATAAACAAATTTTTCAAATTAAAGTCATGGAGTAGTTTTTAATTAAAAAAAAAAAATTATAAATTAAATTAAGAAAAAAATAATTAAGAGAAAACAATTATTAATTTATTACTTTAGAAACAATTGGAATTTTTATAAAGTTTTCCCTTTTGTTATAAACAAATTTTTTAAATTAAAGTCATGAATTGAAAAAATTATAAATATTTAAATGATTTGCAAAAATTAGAATGTGAAAGAAAAACTTAAATACGAAAAAAAATTAAAAATTTAGGTACATTTGATTAAATAGTGTCATTTGATTACTTTTTTTTTAATAAATATTTAAAATTTCAAATAAATCGAGACGATCATTTCAAATGATCATATTTCGAATAGTATTTGTATATATATTAAAGAATAATTTGCGCTAATTAACTCAGTCAATATTGAACTTGATTAGGAGTCGAGTGGGAAAAGTTGGAGTGTGTCGATACGGGTGTCATTTGATGTTTCGCCGACTTATGTTTAATTAAATGGTGTTTGTGCATAAAGCGATTGAGGCAAATGTCACAAGTGAATTGTGGTGTTTTTCCACATTCAATTCTCTGATGTTTCAAAAGTGACTCCTTCCATTTGTATCCCTTGCTGCAGACGTCGCAGAAAAATCGCCTGTTCACCTCTGGATTTTCATTTGCAGTGAATGTTCGACATGTAAAGTGATATAGATCCGATGAATACTGTCGATGTATTTTGAAACCTGAAATAGAAAGCACAATTTTTTGTTAGTGTTAGAAATGTTTTGAAAACAAATTTTGGAAAGCAAATTTTAAAAACAAGTTTTGAAAACAAATTTTGAAACACTGTTAACTTAAAAGTATCAAATTGATACTAAAAATTTGGATCAAATAAAAAATTGTTCCAAATTGCAACGAATTGATACTAAAAATTGGGATCAAATAAAAAATTGTTCCAAATAGCAACGAATTGATACTAAAAATTTGGACCAAATAAAAAACTGTTCCAAATTTTTGGCATTAAATTGATTCGCCTTAATATTAATTTGATACTTTCAGAAAAGTTGTGAATCAAATTTTGAAAACAAATTTTGTGCGCAAATTTTGGAAACGAATTTTGAAGACAAATTGTGTGAAAAAACAGATTTTTACATAAAAAGACAGTAGACATTACTTAACGTGAGGACATGTAGCACAGGAGGTTTCTGAAAAGTCAATTAATTAGGTTCTGCATTGACAGACATTTAATTGAGTTTTAAGATTTTAAACACAGTGAAAAGGGCAAATAATTGAAAAAAGCCAATTTTGTTAATTAACATTTTTTTTTATTTACATTTACTTCGACTTGAAGAATCTTTTTTTGAAAAAGAGTAAAATTATATTCAGATGTCCAATTTTTTCTTTCAATTTTTCAAGTCCAGTGTTTAAATTATATTGTGAACTGCAATACCTGCAAAAAATAAAAATAGTTAGTACAAAGAAATGTAAAAATCGTTCCTACAAAAAAAAAAATAGAAAAAATAGAAAAAAATGTTTTTTTTTAAATTTAAATAAATTTTTTTTTTTTAAATATGAAAGAAAATTGAGAAATAAGTTCACTCTTCAAACTTAATGTTCATTTACTTTTCTATAAAAGTTAAAAATAAATTTTCCAGTTTTGACATTAGAGAATTATTTTTAAAAAAATTATTTAGTTTCTTTTTCAAATTATTGTTAAAGCTTAAAAATGTTGGTCAACACTTTTTTTAACAACACTTTTTATTCGTTTTTTGTCTCAATTTTAAATCTGCAGAAAAACTAAAAAATAAAAAACAAACTAAAAAATAAATAAAAATTAAAAAAAAAATTAAATAAAAAAATTACAGGAGGAATTGCAAATAAATAAATCCGCAATTTTTGTCTTTCTGAACTTTATTTTGCTCTAAATAGAATACAAAGCTCTATACAATCACATTGTATATGAAACAAAAACAATATATCTGAAGAGTACTTTAACTCATTACTGTTTTACAATTTTGTTTTTTTTTGTTTTTTGTTTTTTTTGAATGTGAAATAAAATTTAAGTGGTACATTTTTTTGAATGGCAAATAAAATTTAAGTCGTACAATATTATTTTTGAAAACAGTAAAAACTGACAAAATACAATTATTAAAAAAAAATTTTTGTTCTATGTATATAAACAAAATACGTCGTCCTTTGTTAAAAGTTATTCAAAATTGCAAAATAAAGTAGAAAGATTATTTTTAGCGTAATTAATAATAATTTTCTATATAATATTACAATATAAAAGACAAAAATAGTCATCCGTTGGCAAATACATGGCGAAAAAAAAGTAAAATTACAAGCTTTTCTTTTACGTATGAGGCGCTGAGCAATTTATATTTGAACATTTAAAATAATACTATAAAGTTTTGTGAGTGGAAAAAAATTCTTAGACTTGTACTATATGTGTAAAAAAATTAAAAAGGCTAAGGAGATAAAGTAAAATGTAGGTATTTTTTAATTTTTGTAGAGTAAGTGACAAATTTACTGAAAGATAAAATTACACAAAAAATTGTTTGGAAGTATTTTCTCCCTGGCGAACGGAATTAAAATTAAAATTTATTTTTTTCAAACTGGAGTAAAATTCATATTGATTTTCTTCGAATTAAATTAAAATTCGAATTGATTTTCTTCAAACTGAATTAGAATTCGAATTTATTTTCTTCAAACTGAATTAAAATTCGAATTCGATTTTCTTCAAACTGAATTAAAATTCGAATTAATTTTTTTCAAACTGAATTAAAATCCAAAAATAATTTTTTTTTGTTAAACTGAATAAAAAAAAAATTTCGACAGAATCGAATCATTGAAATCGTGTCAAAAGAGTAAAAATTAAATACTAAAAACTAAAAAAAAGTAAAAGATAAGGTAAAAAACAATTAGTAAAGATAAAAATAAAAAAAGCATAAAAATAGACAGCATCTGAAGGAACATATTAAAAGTCTCACTAGAAAATAAATAAAAAATGGCAGTAGATCATTAGAACTTATGGACGTTGACAAATTATTTAATCGAGAAGTACAGAAAAATACTATTCTGTTAAGGAAGTTTTCTTTTTTTCTCAAACATAACAATCAAACTTCAAAAATCACCCGAGACAAAACAATTAAAAATTGCACCATTTCTTCCTTCTTTTCACGCATACAACGTTATTTACGTTTCCTTTAACAGAATTACAATTAAAAAAAAAAAAAAACAAATACTTCTGTACTTCTAAAGCTATTCGGGCAAAATGTCATACAATACTATATTTATTATAAAAAAAAATCGCTTACATGGACTTTTACTCAGCGCCTCTTTTTTATTTAGCCTAAAATCTAAGTTGTATCTGAAGGCACTTAATACAAGGCTCTCACATTTTTAATAATCTAAATGCTATCTTTTTCGTGAAAAATGGAAATGTTTTTTTTTGTCGTACAAGTGTCTCGTTTTTTTTTTCTTGCCTTACAAGTATAGAATAATATATATATAATAAAAAAGCAAATTTTTTTTTTTTAAATCGACATTAACGAATAACATAACTTCGGTTTGGGGAAAAATAGTCCTAAACATAACAAAAATTTCTGTATCATAATCTAGTAACATGGGTTTTCGTTTTGAAATTGTAGTTTCTTTTACAATTTTATTTTCTTCGTAAAAAAAAAAAAATTTTTTTAGAGCCAAGCTCTTTTTTATAAAACTGAAGTTACCGGACGTTTTTGTCGAGGTAAACTGAAATTTTCTTTGTCCAAAAAGAATAAGGAATTCCATATTCAAATTCATCGACCAAAAACATTCGTAACTTTAGTTTCATTCACGTTTTTCGTCCAGAAACAAATAAAAATAAATTTAAATACAATCAAAATATCTCAAAAAACATAATTCTTCAAACAATGTCAAATTTTTTTCATTATTCGCAAAATACGGTTAAAGTAAAAGTTTAAAAAAAAGTTTTAAAAAAAATGTAATAAAAAATTGTATCGTTAAAATAAAAAACAGAATGTAATTTTATCACATTTTTGTAAAGAAAGAAATAATGTTTTCTCGTTCATTTAATACGCAAATTTTTTTAAAATTCGTTACACGAATATAAATTCAGTTTTTAATATCACCATAAATGTTGTTTTTTTATAATATATTATAAATAAAATGCGACGATAAAAAAGATATTTTATCTAAATTTGGTGTTTTCGTCGTGAAAATTTCAAAAAAAAAGAAACAAAGAAATTATATTTTTTAACGCACCGGACTTTTTTTCGTTCTTTTCATTAATTTTTCAAATTGTTTAATTATTATATAATATATTTAATGATCATCCAACACCGAAAAAAATGAATTTTTTAACCGCCAATATCGCATTTTATAATTAGATTCCTAGATAAGCATAATTAATAAAGCCAGACTACAATGTCTTTAACTAATTGATAATTAAAAAAAAAAAGATACAATTAGAGGTTTACCTCAATTTGCTTACATTCTAATATCTCATTTTCCTTCCAGTATTTTATATTCTATTAAAGAATTTCTAATCTCAAGTTTTTAATAATTTTTCTTAATAATGTTTTTTAATAATTTCTTTTAATAATGTTTTTTAATGATTTTTAATAATATCTCTTAATAATGTTTTCTTAATGTTTTTTAATGATTTTTAATAATGTTCTATCAATAATGTTCTTTTAATAATATTTTTTTTAATAATCTTTTTAATAATGTTTTTTAATAATTCTTTTAATAATGTTTTTTAATAATCTTTTAATAATGTTTCTTTAATAATCTTTTAATAATCTTTTAATAATGTTTTGTAATAATGTTTTAAATAATTTTTTAATGTTTTTTTAAATAATTTTTTAATGTTTTTAATAAATTTTTAAATGTCTTTTAATAATGTATTTTCAAGGCACGTGTATTTCAAAAGACGTCTTGAATGTTCAAATAAATATTCTATAAAATGTTTTAAAATCTCTGTTAGTTGTATAATCGAAATATTAGTTTCTAGTCAAAAAAAAATATTGTGTAGAATTTTACTAGAACGATTCTAGTAAATATTAGGTGGAAATTACAAAATTATTTTTTTGCTGAATATTTTTTGATAGATGTTAATTAATTTTTTCACTATTTTAATTAATATATTCAGAAATGAATTTTTCTTCTTTTGAATTTTGCGCCCTTTTAGTTCATTAAACAGCCGCCTAGACGGCATGAAAATTCTCTCACAAACGAAGTGAAGCAAATTTAATTTCAATAATTATAATGAATCTCAGTGTTGATAGAAAATTATTATCTTTTCAGTTATAAAGTGAATAATATTATAAATTACAATAATAAATATACTGTAAATAATTCTTAATGATTTTTTAATAATTTCTTAATAATGAATAAAATTAGAGAAAATCAAATGTAGGAAAAAATATATTTTTTTATTTAATATATTTTTTTTTACTTTTTCAAATTTTATTCATTAATAAGAAATTACTGTACTTATGTTGAACTATTTTTTTCAAAAACATAACTTTATTTTATTTTCTTTAAGATTTTTATCAATTAATAAGAATTATTTACAATTTATTTATTAGTTTATATTCTTAATTAAAATGTTATTTTACAACAGGAACTCTTTCTTCTTCTTTTTAAAGAAGTTTGTAGGCGATGATTCATTCCGCTTGTGAGAGAATTTTCACGCCGTCTGGGCGGCAGTTTTGTCAACTAAATTGGCGCGAAATTC